TTGCATCCCTGGCTCGTCTATCCTTTTCTGACGCTTCTGTTTGATAGGTGATATGGAAAGCGGGAGGAAACCTTGAGGCGGATCATCCAGGTTCGGGGATGCTGAGCGCTTGATTAGAGGCTTGTACACGTCCTTGGCTTTCGTGGGACCGTGGCGGGGATCCGAGTCGAACGTGGTGACTGAAGGCGGCATAAGCACCCTTGGAAACCATTTGTCGAGCGCTTGTGTAACGTTGCTTCGCACGCATAATTGTATCATGTGCCCTACTTTGTGAAACGCTTTCCAAGCTATGCGGTTTATGCCTTTGATTTCCTGTCATGGAGGTAATTCGTCGGAGGGGCGGTGCACAGCTATGAGGACTTCGGACCGAGCGGGCGGAGTCTTGGAACAGCGTGGCAGTGGGGTAAGGAGCGCATCTATCAGCAATTGAGGGCTGATGACTATCTCATATGTGATTGCCTGATTAGCAACCTAGAGTTTGGGTTAAAAATATCTCTTTGCAGTGCCTCAATACGCGGCCTATTGTCCAGTTGTGCCGCAGTCCCAAGCTGCGTCACCACAACGCCTCGCCGCCAAGGGTCCCTTTCCTTTCAGCTTTTCTTCGATTTCTCGCGCTCGGCCAAGGAAACCGCTACCCGTAGAAGAACCCCACACACGCACCCAACACCGATACCCGATCCAAAGACGTACACTTTATAAAGCCTCTCGGGCATCATGGACTCACAGTCTCAAAGCCATCCCGCTGGGCCTCCCTTTAACACCCATCCTCCACCGCTCCCCTCGCATCAATCCCACTCTCCCTCCAACCCCTCCACTTCACAATACTATCATCATAAAATGTCCTCGACCACTGCTGGTGGTGCCGTCGTCGAATACTACTCTTCCGTACCGACGTTCATCCCTCCAGCTTCGTATTCTTCTACCGGCGTCCCAACTTTTACTCCTACCAATACTCCGTCCCCGCAGCAAACCATCCAGGACCTGTCGTCTCCACCTTCCTCGAACCACGCTCACCCGACCACGCCGTCCCCCCCGCCAGAAGCTTCAAATCCGTACGCGAACGATCCTTGGGCGCCTCAGGCCAACCAGAGTATAAAAGTCGACTCCCTACCTCCCCCGAAGTCGCCCAACCTCGGACCACAGCGCAAAATGCACTCCAAATTCGCGGTTCCAGCACCCAGCACGGGTGCAGCAGGTTACTCTCGTCGTGCTGCAACAGAGTACTCAACCCCAACGTCGCCTCTTGCGAGCCCGGGAACTGGACCAGAGGGCCTTGGGTTGACGTCCCCTGTCCCAGCCTTATCAGTGACTCCTAGCGCCGCTTCCGCCAACGCTGCTGGTACCGCCAAGAACACCAAGACCGGTGTGTCGAAAGACTCCCTAAGCAAGTCATTTGCACGTTTATCACTTTCCCTTTCGGGCCGTTCCAAGAGTGGCAAAAAGAACTCCCCGCCCGCAGACGAGCCTGCACCACGCCTTCCTCAACCTTCCAGCAGTAACGGCAGCAATCTCCCACTGCCCTCTCAGCATTCACGCCCCGTGTCGTTCGCGGGCTCGCCTGCGCCGAGCGTTCGACCTCGATCTTTCGTAATCCCTCAAACCTTGGAAGAATGGGAGGCATTCAACAAGGCTGTCCTGACCCGCCCGCCTGCCTCACACCAGAGGCCTCCTCCCCCTCCACCTCAATCGAACCGTCTCCGACCTCCGTCGTCTGGACCGGGCATGCTACCCGGCCCTCGCCTTGCTGCTAGTCTCGCTGCCAGCCCACTCAACAGCCCTGGAGCCAGCCCTCGCCGAAGTGTGGTCGATTTGCCCCCTCCACCGATCGTCCTTGGTGAATGGGAGAGGAAGCGCCTGTCGGAAGCTCAAGGCATCCCCTTCCCCCAAGCGCCAACTCCTCCCCAGCAGCAGCAACCACAGCAGCAACAGCCGACGTCGCAGAGGCCAGCGCCCGCGAAACGGCAGACAACCGAAGGAACTCCCTCAGCTTCCCCACCTTCCTCTCGCCCGACGACTCCGCCCACGGAGAGCAGGCGAAATAGCTTGTTTTTCATGAAGCGGACCTCCAGCGGCGCTGTGTCTCCGAGTGCGGCGAATGCTTCGCCTATGCCGATCCCGAAGCCGTCGCAGCAACCCACTCAGGTGGAACATTCTCCATTGCCTTCACGGGTTTCTTCTCCCCAACCCGTTCCGCTCGCAGCTGCTGTCAGCTCTCCTGCCCTCGTGGAGCAGCCAAGCCCGGATTTTGCACCCATTGTTCGACCTGCCAAGCAGCAAGAGTCAGCTGAACCGGAGACCGAAAACGAGCCCGTGGAAGCACCTGCAGCACCTCTATCCCGTCTCCGAACCGTCTCGCTCCCGGGAGGACCTGACGCTAAAAATGAGCGGCCTCACCTCGCCATCGAGACAGACGTGTCCTCTCCATCGCTCAGATGGTCCAGACCGAAGTCGTGGATGGGCGTCATGGGTGGTGGGAACGGTGGTGATAGCCGCTCGAGGCGCAACAGTGTCAGCGAAGGCGACATGGGCGACGTTCGTCCCCGCGTCGTGTCAATCGAGCGGAGGTACAATCCCGACTCTAACGGTGCACGGTTGAGAGCGTTGAGGAGGAGTTCTAGGGGGAGTTCGATCGACTTGACCACAAGTGGCAGTGCGGCAGCCAAGGACGCCGACGATAAGCGCTCCCTTATGTCCGAAGGCGGCAGGATCCGCAACCTGTTGAAGAAGAAGAGGCGTTCGTCCGCTTCGGAGTCGGATGCCGAGGGCGGCCTCGCCGACGCGGGCAAGCTGAAGAAGAAGTCGCAACCTCAGCAGCCAGCTGGTTCGATGGGTCTGCCTCCTGGTGCCGCCAGGCCTTTGTTGGGCACGAACTACGCGGTCTCGCCTGGTGCGGTCTCGCCCTCTCCTGCTCCCGAGGAGGCAGCGACCACTTCCTCTACTCAGGAGAAGAGGCGCTCAAGGAGGTTTTCTTTTGGTTTGAAGAACTTCTCTGGAGCGGTTCAGCCCGCTGCTGCAGTCGCTTCACCCTCCCCTCCTGCTAACAACTCCGAAGCGGATCTTGTTCCTAACCCTGCTCGTGCTGCTGCTCCCGCCCCCGTTGCGTCTGCTACCCCGACCGCCGAATTTGCTACTCCCTCGCGCGCGAGGTTGTTCTCGTTCGGAATGAAGAACTCGTCGACCGCCCAGCTTGTCCCTGCGCCTTATCCTGCCAACAACGCCGAAGTGGATGCCGCTCCTGCTCCTGCTGCCGCTGCCCCTCCCGCCCACGTTGCGTCTGCTACCATCGCGAGGGCTGACGTTGCCACTCCCGCGCGCGCGAGGTTATTCTCGTTCGGAACGAAGAACTCGTCGACCGCTCAGCTCGTCCCTTCGCCCTTTCCCGCCAACGAGGTCGCCAGCCCCGCGACGTCCACTGTGGGCAAGAGTCGCGGGTTTTCGTTTGGCGTGAAGAATCCCGCTGCACCCGCTCCTGCTAACGATGTCGAGGGAGATAACCAGCAGGCTGAGAAGACGCGCTCGAGGAGGTTCTCCTTTGGAATCAAGAACGCAGCAGCTGCCCAGTCACCTTCTCCCGCGAACGACGTCGAAGGCGACGGTCAACAAGCTCCGAGGGACGGCGAGAAGACCCGCTCGAGGCGGTTCTCCTTCGGATTGAAGAACGCGGCTGCTACCCCGTCATCTGCAAACAACGCTGAAGGCGACGGCCAGCAAGCGTCGAACGGCGAGAAGAGGCGCTCGAGGAGGTTCTCCTTTAGTATGAAGAACCCTTTCGGCAAGAGCGAGTCCTCCAGCGCTAGCCCCGCTCCCGGTCCTGCGGTCAATCCTCACGCGTTGTTGCCTCCTGGTGCTGCTCGACCGGCCATTCCTTCTCGTGCTGGATCCCAAGGCACGACCGACACCCCGTTCTCTTCCAGCAACGCCAGCAGCGCGGCCACCACTCCCGCCGTCGCTGACTCATCCGCAAGCAGCATGAAGCCTCCGAGCCCCCCTCCTCCATCTTCCCCTTTGGCGCTGTCGGCACTGGCCATGTCTCGATCCGCGAACAACTCATCCGCATCCCTCACTTCCAAGATGAACCCCTTCAAGCGCAAGCCCCCGCCATCCATCTCCGACGAGCCCTTCGTCATCGTCCCGACTCTCAACAAGGGCAAAGGGCAGCTCAAGTTGGAGATCAGCGAGGCCGAGAAGGAGAGGCTGGAGAGGATGAGCGCTCCCCCGAGTTTGCCCAATTCGAGGCCCCAGACCCCGAGCGACAATACTATCCCGGTTAGGTCGTTCGGACCCGGGAAGAGGGGTAGCTTCTTTGCAGATGAGTGAGTCCCGTCGATCAATGGTCTTTTGTGGAATCTAGTGAGCTGACCATTGTACCCTTTCTTTCTGCTTTGTAGCGATGATAAAGAAGAGAGGATCGACGAGAAGAACAACCGCGTCAGTCGATTCCTGAACGATTACGCCGCCAACAACGAACTCGGACTCGCTATTCCCAGTCCTTCGTTGAGGGGCATGCCGCTTGCGCCGCCGTCGATGACGGACACAACCGATAACAGCCTTGCTGCTACGGATTCGACTGGTCACTCGGATGGCACCGCCCGGGTGAGGACCCCCGAGCGATTCGAGTATTAATTAGTTTTTTTTTGTGTGAAGTTTCTTGTTCTTAGTGTTCTTACGTTTATGTGGCCACTCCTTGCTAGACTTTTCTCCCGAACCCTGCTTGTTAACCGTTTCACTCCGTAGTCCGAATTCATGCTTGCATATAGAACGATACACTCCTCTGTATATTAGATAATCATGCATATCCATAGTTCGATATATGTCGAATATTTCCCTCTTTTGGTCTTGAGCATCCAACGACGAGTGACAAACAACCTGAGGACAGATTCGGTAAGCTCGGCGAGTTGGCAGTGACTCAGCAAAAAAGGCGCAACCCTGCAGCTTTCCCCCTGACCTGGAACCCAGGTAGGCTGTACCGTAAAATAAAAAATGCAAAAGTACAAAAGTTTGGCCTCCACTGAGGATCGAACTCAGGACCACTCCGAATCGCTTTGCCAGTGTGACTGGACAAGCCCAAACGGAGTATCGTACCACTAGACCATAGAGGCTGTTGGAAGTTTTGTCCTTTACTTAGCCTATTGTACCTCAGATATAATCTCCAGGAACCGGCCCGCTCTCTACATTCCTCGAGATACAACGCCGAAACATTTGTACCGACCGTGACTACCACCACACTCACCTCGAGCCACTCCCAGTATCATACCCGGAGAACGATGCCAGACCTCCAACTCACTGTAAGAGATCCTCGCAGAAATCTTGGGCTCCAACACCATCCGCGTAAGTTGTCTCGGCTTGGTGGGGACAAACCGACTAAAACTCGCTGTGCAGGGTATATCAGTCGGATGTACTAGACATACGGTGGTAATTACGCGTCGACCGACCGTCGGGACAGAGTGGCCCGGGCGACAGTTTTGAGCATGATTACCAACTTCATGTTCAACAAAGACTTGCATCCAAGCGGGGCTGTGGACTTCCTCCAGGACCTCGAGAACGCTTGCGAGAAAAATGGTGTGTCGCTTCCGGAGCTTCTCACGGAAGAAATGTCCACCGGCGGTATCCCTTCATTGATGCGGGAGATACAACGCTGCAACTGGAGAGAAGAACCAGAGCTCCTATTCTTCCTTGTAACCCGTACTCCGTCGCAGAAGGTGCCTTGTATGATCCGCACAATGACTCTGAATTTGGTGTCTCCGTCACTGTAAAGGGTTATTCCAGAAGCTTCGTCAGCAAAGCGATATTACGGCCGAACGGATCGTCGAGGAACGCTCATGGGCACTAGACTTGAAGGCGGACATAACTGGGTCTCACTTTGCTGGATGAACAATTTTTACAGTGGAGACGTATGTCGATCCCCCGAACACCGTGGAACTCATCTTGCTAGACGGACCTTCGACAATGGTAACAGGAAATCTGCATGCTGGCCTCTCGGACCAGAAGAGCTCGGTCCACTCTCCAAAACCCGTTCTCCTTCTAACAGGTCACGCAGGGCGAAACTCCGTGAAATAGAAACCAAATTAGCGACCGGGGACCCGGGTAAACAATATTCATGAAACTTGCACGCCAGTATCCTTTCAACTGAAGGTCGACCTCGAGCAAGTATTGGAAACATTTGGACAGTCTGGCGAGGAAGAAAGAAGCGAGAAGAGTGCGCTCGAGGAAGACGACAGTTGGGTCTTTGAATACGGTAATGAAAAGCCGGCCGTTGAGGAGAAAGATGGGTCGGGATGAATCTTAGCCAGCTGTGTCGGACAAGGACAAGGATCTGGACGAGCCCGACGAGAGGCGTTAAACGGTTTAGAGGGAGATCTGCGTCGATGAGAGACCGCTCGCTTACCAAGCTCACCTTTCTGTCAGCTGCCCCTGCCAGGCTTGTAAGACGATGGCTCTGAAATCTTCCTGTAGAGACATTGATAGTTGATATTTGAATGAGTACTGCGTTTTAGATGATAGAGATGAATACGGTAATATGTCGACCTTCGAGTTACCGGTAGCCTGATCTGCAGACGTACACACGAAGAAAATATCCCTATTCGACAGCCTTGAGTAGAATACCTTTTAAGTAACACTTCAGTTGGTGGGTGTCGAAATAAGCCAGATTTTACAAATCGGCATCGGCATGGCTGTGTGACCGGCGCGCTTCGCAGTGCACAGCTGAAACGCTTGTGCCGACTCCATCTACCACCACACTCAGCTCGAATCCCTGCCGTGCACCGACATTTAGGGGATCATGTCAGACGCCACATTTAGGTTATTGCAAGGGACTACCCCTAGCGGAAACGGTCGGTCTCGGCGCCATCATCAGGGTAAGTCGTGCCTGCTTGGCTGGGACAAAACCACTGAAACGTATCAAGCAGGGCATCGCGATTGGATGGATCCACCATATGATGGAGATCGTCCTGGGGCCTACGGATCAACCGATCGTCGGGACAGAGTGACCCGGGCGACCGCGTTAAGTATGATTACGGACTTGATGTTAAACGAAGACTTGCACCCGAGCGAGGCCGTCGACTTCCTTGAAGACCTCGAGAATGCTTGCAAGAAAGATGGCGTCTCGCTCTCAGAACTCCTCGCCGAAGACATGTCTACCGGTGGTGTCCCTCCATTGATGTGGGAGATACAACGCTGCAAGTGGAGAGAAGAACCAGAGCTCTTGATGTTTCTCATGATCCGTACCTCGAGGCGGAAGGTGCCTTGGATGATCCGCACCGCCTGCCAGGCAGTCGGGGATAATAGTTTACTGCAACTGCTCAGAGAAACTCTAGAACCTGATGTCTTATGCCATGTAATGTCAAGGTGAGCTTGTGGCCTGGGAAGGTCTACTGCGGCGAATCTGACAATCTGAACCCGACTCCTCCTTATCAGTAGTGACCTTGGGTTCGACGTCGCAATTACCGTGAAGGATCTAACACAGAAACTCCGTCCTAAAGAAACGACATGGATATCCGAAGGGAAACACGGGGAGGAAAAAAAGAGACATGTGGAAGCGAGCAGTGTTCCAATCGAATGGATCGTCGAGGAGCGCGCATGGGCGCTAGAGTTGAAGGCGGACACCCTGGAACTCACTTTGCTGGATGGACCTCCAGCAATCGTTACAGCAAAACTACATGTGGACCCCTCAGACACCCTAGAACTCGCTTTGCTAGATGAATACGTTACAGAAGACCCGAAAGCCGGCTCCTTGAACCAAGGAAGCTCCGTCCACAGCTGTGACATGGAATTCCCTCCGGCGACCGTCCTCCTTCCAATATCCCGGGCAGGGCGAAACTCCCTAATATTGAAACCGACTTGGCGACCAGTGACCTGGGGGAACGATATTCATGATACTCGCGCCCCCGTGTCTTTTCAATTAAAAGTCAGTCTCAAGCAAATAGTGGAAGCTCCGTCGCGTCCAATCGAGGAAGAAAAGGTCACAAAGAGTACTCCAGAGGAAGACGACGACTGGGTCATTGAATACGATGATGGCGAACCTGCCGTTGTGGAGGAAGGTAGCTCGGACTGGGTATTGGCTAGCTGGTCCGGAAAGGACAAGGATCTAGACGAGCGTGATGAGGGACCTGCGACTAAATAGCTAAGAGGACCGTGCTGTATACGAGGGGAGACTGCCCGCTGGCCAGGCTCACCTTCCTGTCAGGTTAACGCTGCCAGGCTTGTGGATCTTGCTTCTAAAGTCTATCTTGGTGACCTTGTTAGTTAATGTATGAATAGCCATTGCGTTTTAGTCTGTTTTAGTCGGCACAGCCCGTTATAGCGGGGTACGTCGATTCACCAAGCAGGTAATTAGGAGTTATATACACAGACTAGAAAAGACTCCTGTCAAAGAGGTTTACGTCTCCTGAGTGAAACGGTTTGAATCTACAACTTGGTTTAGTGGGGTTTATGGCGAGCGACACGTGCACCGCCCATTGCTCGACAACGCCCAACCGTGAGACCTGCTGACGCTGCCAGTTCGCCGACCACTACTCCGCAACTCTTCCGCTCTTCCGTCGGACCACAGCATCATTGACCCCTGAGCTACCAAAGCGTCAAACAATTTCAGGATTCCCGGATCACCAGCGCTGTCTCGCTAGTTTCTTGAGCCGAACCACTCTCATTAGAACTCTGTGGTTTTCCGCGTGACAGGTTCAAATGGATTTGGCTTTGTCAACCGCCACCTCGTCCAACTCGCTCGTCCCAACGGACAGTGTTGGACAAAGCAACACGAGCAACAACGAAGAGCCTCCGTCATCGTTCCCTCGAGCCCCACAGACTGCGACAGCCGATGATGTTGAACCTGCACCGCCCTCACCAGGTTCCTCAGGCAAGAAGAAGAAGTCCAAGACCCGCGACAACGGTGGATCGGTGCCGGAAGATCCTGTTGATCAGCTCGCCGTCGCACATGCAAACCTAGCTGCCGCTCCAATCGTCGGCGTCGTTGGATACGGTCCGGGAACCGGCGGGGGAAGTGGAATTCGTCGACATACACCATCTTGTGACTTCTGCAAGCGTAAGCAGTGTCGTTGAGTCTCTACTTGCTAGACGCTCACTCCATTATTACAGGGCGAAAAGAACGGTGTGTAGGCGGGCCTCCGTGCCAGACCTGCGCAAATCGCGGCCTCGAATGTACTTTCGAGCTCGTGAACAAAGCGCACTTTGACCGCAAAAGAGCCAAGAAACCTTCTACGAATGACCTTGGTGCTCCCATTGTACCTTTACCTCCACCAAAACCGGCGAAACCAGCCGAGAAGACACCGCGCACGTTCTCAAAACGGGATAACGTATCCGAAGTGGCTTGCATGTTTTGCAGAGGTTGGTTTGGTGAATTTCGTTTTGGAAAGGCATTGACCGAGCTTAACAGAACGACGAAAGAAATGCACGGCAGAGAAGCCTACATGCTTGAACTGCCATAGGCGTGGAGTTGAATGTGTGTACTCAGACCAGCCCAGAGCGAGAAAAGGAGGAAGAAAGAGAAAAGATGGCACGGCATCCAACAATCAGGCGGATGGTGGGGGAGAAGGTACTTCGACTTCTGGCGCAGCCCGAAACGGAAACAGCAGGTGTGTAATGAGATATGAAGTTGATGAGAGATTCTGATACTCAATGGTCTACGTTTTAGCAACGCTGCTGGCACGATGGCGCTTCCGGGCATGCTAATGCCGATGCCCTTCCTTAGCCCGCTGCCTTGTCACTTCTGTCGAAGTAAGCTAGTTTCGTCGTTTTTGCTCAATACTTGGTGATTTGAACTCTTTTTCATTTAGGCCAAGATCTCCCCTGTGACCGCAACTTCCCCGGGTGCTCCCATTGTCATCGGCGGGCCCAACCCTGCACGTACGACCCTTTCACTCCCGATGTTTCCCAACTTGGTATCTGGCCTGCAGCAATGTCCCTACCCGGGGGTTCCATGCCTTTCACCACGATGCCTAGCGCTCAGGTCACGAACCCATCTGCGGCGGCGCAACAAGCCGCGATGGCGGCAGCGTTGCCTTACTTTAACGTCGCTTGGCTAGCCCAGCTTGCCGCGTTGCATCAAACCGGGAACGTCAACCCCACCTCCATGAACCCAATGGCGGCA